ATGTGACGAAGATAAAGTTGTCTCATTAACATTTATAACTTTCACAACTTTCACAAGATTTATTCATTTACTATTTTATAAATTTTATTATATGTTACTGAAAATAAATAATTATCAATTGTAATTCAAAAATTTAAAATCGTATTTAAAAAACAACATGGTTTTATATGTACATGATTGTATATTTTTAAATAGTCGTTGACAGTTAATCTAAATAGATGCTAATTTTCATTATATAAAAAAAATTAAAATCAATATTTAAATTATGATTTATAAATATATATTATCATTAATTTATATATGTAAACTAATGTTTATTAAATGTATTAATAATTCATATGTATATTTTTGACCAATAAATATAATTAATATAAAAATTTCATCTTAATTGCTTCTTATCTACATGAAGATATGTCCTAAATTTGCGAATAACTTTTTTAATTTTTAAAAATTTTACTTATAGTAAAATATCACAAATTTCGAAGAACGGACTTAATGTATATATTGAATATGAATATATTCAAATATAAATTAAATTTATTAAAAAGGCAGTATATTTTTCAATTAACAAAAATTTATGCATTTCGGAACAAATAAAATGCAATCTGCAACGATTTTTTAATGAAATGAATATTAATATTTATATGGAATTGATATGGTGTAAAGTAATATTTTTAATAAAATATTTTTTAATAAAAATTACAGTGATATTTCAAAATAAAATATTTTAAAATTATATAATAATTAAAAATAAATCTTGCATAATGGATATCGTTATATTTTGTGATTTACAAATTGATATTATTACAAATTGATATTTTTTTAAATATTATATCGTGCACAAGATATGAAGTGAAAAAATTATTTTTTTATTCAATAGAGTAATAATCATAAATTTTTTATAAAAATAAATATTAGAGACAAGTAAAAAAAATATATTTTTGAAAAATAAATATAATCATTATCGATTTCAAATTAAATTTGAAATTAGGCACTATCTTATTTAATAACATCAAAAAAGAATAATAAAAAATAATTTTAATATTAAGAAAAAATTAAATGATTTTAATGTTACATTGAGTGTAGTGAATGAAAAAATAAAAATAAAGAAAAAGAAATAATATGTATATAATGTGTATATAAAGAGAATATAATTTTTTTAAAAAATATTTTAATTTTTTTTAAAAAAGTTTAATCATTTATTTGTTGTAAATTTTTTAAAAGTTTTAAAAGTTTTATTGAGAACTCTTAGAAAAACTAAAAAAACATTTATTGTAATCATATTTCATTATAATATTAAAAGATTAGCAAATCAATAAATACATTATAGAAAAATTAAAAACTTAATATTAAAACTAACTTAAAATTTAATATATAAATTAAATCTCTACTATACAAAAATATTAACTAAATATCATAGATATTTACAAATATTTGATGAATTAATAAAATATAATCATTATTTTAGTCAATATAAAATGAAACTTTAAAGAATACATTATTAGAAAAAACAAATTATTATTTTGAATAATAATGATACAGAAACTATTAATTAATATGATATTTTATAACTTTTTCATTTTTGTATAATTATAAGAAAAAAATGTATGTACACATTTTACAAATGTTTTTTATTTAAAAACCATATTTTGATTGAGTTTGTTTCCTTGTCAATCTATTTTGTGCCCATTGATTCTTCAATTCCATTTCCATTGCTTTAGCTTGATGTGCTAAATATGTTATTTGATGTTTCTTTTTAGATTGAGAACTTACTCCACCACCTTGCATAGATATTGGTCTTTGTATAGGCTCTTCTGTTAATGCTTTTATTAACCATTCTCTTTCATCTGGTTTAATATCTTCTCCATTTATTTCTATAATATTTGCTTCTTCAATTTCTTTAGGTTTCCGTTTCACACCTCTTTTTCCACAAAGATATTCAATAGCCTTGTCATCAAAAGCTACATTACCTTCTGTGTCTATATTATATTCTTGTTCAGGTACTGGTAACTTTGGACCTATTTCTGTTTTATTTTTTAGTAATATTTCTTCCTTTGGTAAATCTATAACATTACTTAATGATGTTTTTTGAGATTTATTTGTACATATTGTTTTTATATCAATTTTAGAACTAGTAAAGTATTTAAACAAATCATTTTTATTTGGATTATTTTTAAATTCTAAATCAGAATTATTTAAATTTATATCAGTACTCAGAGAATCTGATAAAATATTTGAAACAGTATCATTTTGTGTTAGAGCAAAAAAATCTGTAATAGAATTATTATCTTTATCTATAATTGCTTCACTTTCATCATCTTCAGAATTTGATTCATGAGTTACATTTATGGAATTTGCTATTATAGATTTGCTATTATAGGTTTTTATATTAGAGGTTTTTATATCTATATCTTTAATAAATGAAACTTTTGTTTGATTAGTTTCTATAGTAGATTTAATAACAGTAGGTATCAAATTATTAGAACTTTTAATGTCAATTCCTTTAGGTGGAGGTAACAATGCAAAAAGTTTAGTACCTTTCTGAAAATACATATATGTATATATATATATATATCTATTTTTTATTTTCTTACAAAAATATGAATATTATGATAAATACTTACATTTGATGGCTTTAATTTATTACATTTAGGCTCATTTTCCTTTTGAGTATCTACAAACTTTAAATAAAAAAATGTATTAATTTAAAAAAAATAAAATATTACATACACATTACATTTATATAAAAATTTCTTACTTCAGATAAAGAAGGCACCATTATTTTAACTGGTACTCGATCCTTTTTTACTGATTTTCCAGATTTAAATTCTTTTTTCAAAGGAATATCATCTTCTTCTATGATATTATTTATTTCCGTAACCAAAGTTTTGGGTTTAGGTAATTTATTAAATTGTATTTTTTCTGATGATTCGTTTGTCTTAGGTACTTCCATTTCAATCACATTATTTTTATCATTTTCTTGTTGAAAAGTATTATCGTTTGAAATTGATAAACATAACTTATCATTTGTTTGTAAAACTGTAACTTCTGATGTAATTTTATTTTCATTTTCTGCATTACAATTATTTCTTTCATCATCTGAACTTTCATCACTACTTTCATATGCCACAAGACTCATTGTTAAAAAAAAATATTCAGATAACTGAAATTATCGTTTGGGATGAAATATATACGTCAAAATAATAACCTTAAAGAACATTTGTAACCATAGAATCATATACAATATGAGATAGATTTACCATCCTATATACGATTTGTAAATCGCCATATTCGTTTCTGACATTATTGATTCTGCAAAAAATAAAATTACGATGTTAAATATAAAAACATAAAATATATAATATATATAAAATAAATACTATATAAATATAAATACTATATAAATATATATTTGAATAATTGAATCGAATAGATTCTTTTTAAGATTTTGTTTAATTAATATAAACAAAAAAAAAATAAATTTAATTAAATATCGGAACTATCTTAAATGCATAAATTTTGTAATCAAACATAGACAAAGAAATCAAATAATGGAAGAAGAATATAGAATAAAAATTAAAAAATCAAAAAATCACCTTCAGTGCTTGTAATCTTCTTTTGAATCGAATCGGTAATGTTGAAAATGACAGTAAAATGGTAAAGAATTTCTTGTCCCTGGAACAAAAAAATTCATTGAATGTTAGATCTATTTTATATTTTGTTTGTGCTATTAATTTTGTCTTAAAAATAATTTATATTACTTTTTAATATATATACATTACTGGTATCACAATCGTATATGATAAGATTTTATTAAGATTGTTACTTCTTAATTGTTATTTTTTAACAATGTGTATTATATGTGATTAATTTCAATATTAATAAAATATTAATAAATATTAATTAAATGGTTTTAAGATGATCAATATGAATAGAACTTCTCCAAATATTTTAATAACAGGTTAAATAAACAAACAGTATTTTTTTAAAATAATAATAATTGTTTTCGTATTTAAAAATCAAATTATTTGTAATCAATTTTATTTTTAGGTACACCTGGAGTAGGAAAAAGTTTAATGTCTCGTATTTTATCTGAAAAAACTGGATTAGCCTGGATTGATGTTAGCAAGTTTGCTATTGAAAAAGAATGTTTAGAGGAATATGATGAAGTGTATCAATGTCCTATTTTAGATGAGGATAAGGTAATTCATAAAAGAATTTTAATTTTCATATAAATATATTATTTTTTATAATTATATAATATTATTATATTAATATATTATATTTTCTAATTGCAGTTATTGGATGAAATGGAAACCCTTATGTGTGAAGGTGGAAAAATTGTTGATTATCATGGAGCTGATTTTTTTCCAGAAAGATGGTTTGATATTGTTTTTGTATTAAGAACAGACAATACTATTTTATATGATCGTTTAAGAGACAGGGGCTATACAGGAAAAAAGTTAGAAGATAATATAGATTGTGAAATATTTCAAACCATTCTTGAAGAGGCAAGATTAGCTTACAGAGAAGAAATAGTTCATGAACTGACAAGTAATAATCTAAATCAAATAACAGAAAATGTAAATAGAATATGTCAATGGATTGAAATGTGGAAAATAGATAATCAAGAATAAATTAATTTTATGAGTTTTAATATCTTGTCTTTATCGTGATTATGTTTTTATTATATACATATATTTTTTAATAAAGATATAAGATTTATTTAAAGAATATAAATATTAAAAAAAGAAAAATATATTAATATAATTAAAATATTAATTAATATATAAAGAAAATTTTATCAGAAATATAATAAAATGTTTAAATTTGTAAATATTATAAAAATATATTACAACATACTTTTTACATTAATAATATATATTTACATAAAATTAAACATATATATTATAATAATTATATTAATTATATATTAATATAATATAATATAATATATAAATTACAATTATATTACAATTTTACTAATATTAAAATTATATTTATTCTATTATACCTAAATCATATTTTAATTTTTTTAATCTATTATTTATACTATCATAATATTTCATTTGTATAAGAAGAGATTCTGCTTTCTTAATATCTTTCTGTTCAAATGCAGCTGCTACATTCCTATATAAAAACATATTTATTAATTATATATATATATATATTATTGATAAGACTAAGCATAAAGTTTTAAGTAGAAAGAATATTACATTATTAAATTATTTAATATAGTCTCATTCTTTTGTATTAGTTTTTTTATTTTTTCTTCATTATTTGCAGCATCTTCTATTTCTTCATTCTTTTCCATAATTTCCATTAAAAATTCTGTATTCACATTATCTGTTCCTTCTGATATTGTTATACCATTTAATTCTAGCATATATAATCCTCTTTTTAGAGGATGTAATAATGTACTATAAGCTTTATTTACTAATGATGATAAAATCTCAGAAAATTGCTTTTCTTTCTAAAAAAAATAAAACAACAAAATTAATAAAATTAATAATGTATTTATAATATTATACTTAAATTATACTTACCTCAGATTTGTTACTAAATTTATCAGGATGTAACAGTTTTTGCAGTTCTTTATATTTTTTTTGAATTTCCGTAACATTAACATCGTAAATTTTTGGAATATCTATTATATCAAAATAAGTTAAATTTTCAGGTGGTTTTTGTAAAACTTTACATTTAGAGCAAAATAAATCAGATTTATATGTAAAATTACAATTCCAACATTTTAATGGACTATCACTTGAATATTTTGAAATGTTCGTTAAAGTTAACGAAGAAATATAATTTTTATCTATATAATGCGAATATAGATTTTCTTGTTGTTGTATAAAATTTAAATATAAAATATTATATCTTTTTATAAGATTAAAAAAATTTTTTCTCAAATACATATTTTTAATACAAAATTATCATAACCTTATTGTTTATTAATTTCAAAATAAATTGATGATAGATTCTTAAGTTTTCTATTAATAACACAAAATTATTAAATATTATTTAATATTATTTAATATTATTTAATTTTATTATTTATTAATTAATGCATATATAAAAGAATGTGATCTATTTAATAGATCGTAAAATATTACGTATCATGCTATGTGTAGTTCGTGATTCTTATTGTCAGTAAGAAAATCTATATATTTTTTCAATTAAAATTTCATTTATATATTGAAAAATAGACGCAAACATGCCGACATATGAAATGCCATTATTATTACGATTAGCAAACAAGGTATTGTAATCTTTAACGTATTTTAAAACATTTAATTCAAACATTTTATAGATTTGTTAACCTAAATATAAGTATTTTATATTATTGATAACATAATAATAAACTATCAAAATAATAAATGATCAGATATTAATTATCAATGAATAATATTTCCAGGCAGAATATGTAACTATTTTAAAAGATGTAGCAAAGTCAATATTTGAAACAGGTGGATTTATTAGAAAGATTGAAAATTGGGGTATTAAACAACTTCCATGTAAAACAAATATTCATAATACTAATCATACACATGCAAAGTAGATATTTATCATTATATTATTTATTTTTTTATATATTCATATAATATATATTAATCAGATAATTATGCAATTATTATTTTCAGCCATTTCATGTTTTGTTTTGATTCGCCACCATCTCAAGTTATCAAGATTCAAGAAGATTGTAGAAGAAACAGAAATATAATTAGAATACGGATATATACACAAAATGTGCCATCTAAAAATGTAAAATGCACATTTGAAGAAGAAATGTTACCTCCAGCTTATAGGTATTTTTTAATTTTAATAGCATTCATAATAAGTTCTCATTTCTAATATATATTTTTATTTATTTTAGACCTAGTGTTCAAAAACTTTTGGAACAAGCTAAGAAACACAAGCGTTATCAGACTAAATTCAAATATAATTCTGGTTTTGATTATTATCCTTTCATGAGATGAAAAAATTATTTGTTCATAAAAGCTTAGATAAAAGTAAATAAAATAAAAATTGATAAGAGAAAAAATCATTTATTTATGTCTTTTTAAGTCATTTATTAACTCATATTATCATTACATTATGAAAAATTATTTTTATAATCATCAAAAAATATTTGTACAAAATACTTAATATAATAATATATCATTTATCATTATACAATAACTATAATAGTTATCGTCTTACGCGCAACACGAATCTTTTAAAGTATAATTTGGTTACACTGTAACTCGTAAAGGGTTTTATAATAACAGTGACAAAGCCACAGCTCTGTTTCATAATTTATCTGTCATATTTAACAAATATATAGTCATATTATCCAATTGTATTTAGTAGCACAACATATTTTTTTTTGTTTATATTTTTTTGTTTTGCAAATAAATTGTTTTTTTGTTAAAGAATTTTTATAATACATTAACAATGTATATATTATGTTTTAAAGTATACACATCGAATTTTTAGAATAGACATAAGTTTATACATGTAACTTTGAGATTACTTATTTTTTTAAAAAAGAAGTACAAAAATTTTTATGTTGTACTTTTCTATCTTTTTGTTTAAATACATAGAAAATCATCTATGCGCAAAAATGAGTTTTGTGCACCATTTAGAATTAACCATTTGGACCACGATAAGAAACATTGTTGTACAACAAAATTTTTTCCGTAAGTCTAGTATATCGTAAAGATAAAATTAGAGACAAGAGTGAAATTGGAATTTTTGTAAATGGCATTTAGACGAATAGATTTACATATGTCTAGTGTTCCCGAAATTAATGCCACTCTGATTAGCACCTTTATTACTGCCATATTGTAAACTAATTACACCCTGTCCAGCCCTTAATTGTTCTTCAGTAAAATTACGTATATTTTTGTCCGCTTCTTTTGGTCCGATGCTTGGTTTGCCATAATTACCCGCCTACAAATGAAAATTGTAATTATTTATATATTAATTAATTAAAATTATAAATAGATAATCTTCAAAAATTAATTTTTTATAAATGACAATTAAAATTAATGAAGAACTTTTTTATACAAAAATATTTTCATAATTAATATTTTCATATTTTCTCAATCATTGCATACTAATTTTACTTCTAACTTAAATGACATCAATATGACATCAATATAGATAAAACGTTGAAGTGTCAAAGGAATTTATATAAAAGGAAAGTTTTGAATGGTTGTTATAATAAATTAATTACTAATTATAATAAACTGAAAAAGAAAAATCTTTTTCTTTATATATATTTATATATTCTTTATATATATACCTTTCTACCAAGAGATTGCAAACAAATTACGACTGAATTGAGATTTTGTCTTTCCCAAAGATCAACAGTTTGGAAGGTCTCTTGGGCTGGGACACCTAATGTTCTCGCGGCCTCGAGGAACGCATTGATGTTCTCCATACATTTAAATGCCAAACTGGTCTTGTTAACTTTCTTCACGGATCCTTCTTTAATATCATTTACTAATCTAAAAAAAAAGAAATAATGATTAATTATCATCTCAAAAAATTGAAAGAAAATTAATGTTGATATTGTTTAGTAAAGCGTAACTACTTGCAAAGAAGGACTCCGTCTTTCAAAATTTCATAGAAATTGTCCATGTCCCCGTTAGTGTTTATATTCTCACCAGTGATCGTTTTGATCCATTCCAAACATTCTTGAGCCAATTCCTCGCTGTATTTACTGTTAATCTGTAACAGAAATGCATTTATGATCATCAGTAAAGATCATCAAGTTTTCTTTAATAAAAGGGCAGTAAAATTTCATTTATCCATTTGAACTCCATTTATTAGATCTAAAATTATCTGAATACTTATCTGAATAATTATTCTTATTAAATGAATTTTAATTATAATTTTAATTATAGAAATTGTTTGTTCCTTAAAATGAATCAGATAAAGATTCTATTGTAATGAAATTATTAAATAAAATAAAATTAAGAGAGGAAAAAAAAACTAAATTTTTATTAATATATTATTATACTTTAGATTACAAGAAAAATTAGTTATTTTAATCCATATTTTATCATGACGAAGATTTCACGAGATTCATGTCGATCTTTCAAGTAAGGGGCACGAGCCATTACCGACTGCCTGTTATTAATTATGCGATGTGCCAGTGATCCAAGTAACACATCCTGTAGGGTCTGCGACACAAGCGTGGTTGGAGTCACTGACCCAACTTGTTTAAACACTTCATTCGTTGTTTCTTCGTGATATCTCGCAAATCTTGTCCATGAATGCAAGCAGTTTTTTATATTGCTCAAAAAGATTGAAAACGTATTTTAATTTATTCTTCTATTGGCAATAAACTTCTCAAAATTTATTTCTTTCAAAGAATATGCAACACATACCGCGAGATACTTATCTGTTTACGAGAAAAGATCATTAATAAATCGAGAAGAAATTTAATTCGACTCAAGAAGAAAAAAAAAATCTAACTTGAAAATAAAGTTCAGGAATTTTTTCGTATTTTTAAGTACGAAACTCGTTCCTGAGTTCACGATCTTATAAAAGGCGATTATGAACGAGCACGCCAACAACTCGACGAACTTCGTGTATCCTAAAGCCCGTGGAGAACGCGTAATGGGCACACAGTTATTCACGTAAAGGCTACCTAAAAAGGAGAGGTTCGTAAGCATGGACCGTCGTATTCATCCCGATGCAGTATGCATATTCCGTTAGCCATACGGTGTCTTGATCGTGATATATTTCACGTGCCTCGTAAAATTCACCAGTCCTCTTGATCGATAATTAGAATAATATACTGGAGGTGTATATATATATATATATATATGAGTTCTCGTAGTTTTGCTAAGTCGTAGATGCGATTTTCTCAGATATTTTTCCTTTTCTTTTTATATGTATATATTTTAGAATATATTAAATTGAATTTATATACTATGTATACAGAAAGTTTTATTGAATAATCTATAATATTATACAGGGATCAAAAGTATTATTTCTAAATTGCAAAAATGACGAGTTTTTTTAATACTCAAGAAATATATGTATATATATATACAAACAATAGGCAATTTTGTTATGAAGAAATATCATGCTGAAAGTATTCACTTTCACCAAACCATCATTCAGTTTGTTGACATCTCCTTCGCGAAATAAATATATGCATAAGCAATTACAATATATCATTAATATGAATAATGACGATCGTTAAATTAGAAGTAAATTCTTTTTCCTCGAACGTATCTTATTGTCTTTCATTTTGTTATTACGGATTATCTAGAAGACAAAGGAAACGATATTTTTGTGTACAAGCAAACTTTTTTCCATTTAAACCTATTTTGTTTCAATGTAAAGATACCTAGTTTGTGGTATCATTAATCATATTCTAAGCCTTAGCTTTTCTTAACGATGTTTTCAAACAACATTGTTATCATAAAAAAAATTCTCTACTATAATCGTTCGATAACGATATTTTAGATATTTTTTTATATTTTTTAATATTTAATAAATAATGGCAAATAAGGATTAATGTATCAAAAGATTACGCGTTATAAAATATTACAATTATTATTCTCTGAGAATATTTTTCATAAAAAAAAAAAAAAAAAATAATAATAAAAATTCTCATTAAAATTTGTAAATGTATAGAAAACGTTTAAAAAATGATAACAGGTAAATTATTGTCGTTGCAAGTATTTTTTTCTCTACAATTTTTGTCCTATCCAATGATAACATTCGGAAGCAGCGGACTTCGCTATCTCCTCTTTTATATCTCACGATATAAACCCACGATGTAGAGCACGATGCGAATTCTATATTTAGATATTAAGTAAGCGCATGATAATTTCATTAACGTGAAAAAAAAAAATGATATGCGAGAAATGCGTTAAAGAAATGATAGATTTAGGCCGATCGAATAGAACTAGGCAGAAACGGTATCGAGCAATACGATTAACGTTTAAAATAATAAAAGCGCTTTTCGGATTACTTAATACGAGATCATAACATTGATGAGTCTTCTAAGCTTGTAATTCCCATTTGCGAGCCTATTTGCATGCGAACACATCATTAGTTTCTTTGCGATTTTCTCTGTCCTAGTTATATTTCTATGTATTATCGTTATGTCTTTCATATATAGATATTACATTTATCATAAATATGAGAGAAACTTTCAAACTTTAAATTTTGCTAAACTTAATTCTTTGATCATTCTGTTCCTCGATTTTACATTATAACGAAGAATTTTTTAATTTTATAGAAAAAAAAAAAAAAATAATCGAATATGATAATGATACGATAATACTTTTTGTCGCATTAAATTTCAAGAAAGTTACGTTTGACCAATTACATACCACACAAAATGTTGAAGCCAAGATCTTCTCAAACAAGTTCTAGAGTTTGAAGGGTGTGGTGTGGAATTTATTCTATTCAAAATTATGCGGGGTTGCAGCTGAATCCTCGCAGGTATAATTTTTCTTCTCTTTCCGATGTGTGTCTTTTTAGAAAAGTATGCTCGTTCCTCAAACTTAGACACCATTTTTATTTTATTCGAAGAATTTTACATTGATAGTAGATTTAATAGATATATTTCGATGAAAAAATATACAATTATCAATGATATAATAATCGATAGGATTTAAATAATTCTATTTGATCACTGATCTTTGTTCGATTAGATATTTCAGGAAGTTTGAAATGACGATGTCCAGTTTTATTTCGTCTCTATCTATCAATAAGTAATCGAAATATCTAAAAATTACTTTTATCTTTTATGAATGAAAAAAAAATTGAAATTTAAATTTGAAAAATGATATTGTATCCAATTAAATAATAACATCATTATAATAACATCAATTTATCGACTGACTTTAAATGTTCAATTTTATTAATTTTAATATTATTTTTTATCATTGTTCAAAAAAGAATTGTAGTTTTATATTTTGCAAAAAAATACTTACTAATCTTAGACTGTTCCAAACATAAATGTACGTCAGTTAACAGGGCAAGTGTCTGCAATTAAAGAATCGTTTCATGTCTTTCTAGTAGTTGTGTGACAATGACGCTTTTAATGGCTCTCTAGCTCGTTCACGGTCATGAAAAATAGGTCAAAGGCTTGACTATCAATGAACCAGTGGGTAAATTGAAGGAATTACTCTTCTCCAAGATGCTGCCGCCAGCAAAATCGTTTTCCTCGTTACACAGAGTACACTTAGATTAATTTATTGGCCGTAGAATTAACGTTGTTAACCAACTTACGATTGGAGAAATAACGATACTTCTTCATTTGATTGGAGAAGTAACGATATCTTTTCATTTGATCGACGAGATAAATCGAGATAATAAATTCGAAATTCTCTTTGAATTTTTTATAATCAATGTATCAAAATTTTAATAATGATATTTTGCATAGATTTTATTTTATATAGATAGATAATGTCGTACAATTTGTATTCAATTTATTTGATAGAAGTTTTCTATTATGAAGAAGCTGCCAATTTTTATTAGATTGAAACGAATTATTTTTTCATTAATAACAATTCTTGCCAGTAATAAGATGATTAAGATGATTGAGCAATCGCTATGAATAAATATCGATGATATTTATCGATATAACGATAAGTTTTCAAGTTTACATTTATATTACTTATCGATTAAATGATAAGAAAGATTTGAATTTATACAATTTTTTAGAAAACTATCAATCAAGTATTGAGAATAAATATCAAATTGATATCGAGCTGATATCAAAGCTTGAAACTGTTTAAATTTTGCACCTGTTGGAAGTTTCAAATTACTGTGTAATAATTACAGATCAATTACACATCGAATTGTGCTTTTTAATTTTTTACATTTATAATTTAATTCGATAATGTCATATGACAATCGAAATATGTAAAAATATAAAAGAGATATTTTATCACGAATCGAAAAAAAAGAAACGAAATAATCGTATATGATTAAATCGAATCACCTTGATCGCGAGCACAAGGAGAACTGCATTTAAAGATTGTCCCTTGTTTGACAAGTTTCCATATTGATGTCAAAATTCTGATAAAAGATTTTTTTCTCCTCGATCGTATAATAATTTCTCTTAAACGATAAATCACTTTTAATTTATCATAGATTTATTTAACATGAACGATCCACTTTCTAATATCGATTCATTTATTAATCCGCAATCAAATTTTCTTCGTTTTTCTTTCAATTAAAATTTTCTTCGACATATTTCTATTTTTTTTTTTCATTCAATCTAACTCATACTTTTTATTATATAAAAATCTAAACAATCCTGAAACATTAGAATTTACGATTATCGTGTTCGATTCATCTCCATCATAGAATTTCGAAACATGGCTCTTTTAGAAATTAAACATCTAATTTTATTGACAAGTTAAATATAAAAAGAAAAAAAAAAAAGGGAAAAAATCGCATTTTATATTCAGAAAAATCGTTGACCCACTTCAAGAGTCGTCATGATTGCGTAATTCCACAACATGATTCCACAATGGAGATAAATAATTGTGTATTTTCAAACGTGAGCCTGTTCGAAGGTTGCCGACCATATAAGGATCTCTAAACGAGATGAAGCCCGAACAGGTAAGATACCGTCAATACTTACCGCATGTGCTCGCATGTGGAACTTTGTAAGTTGATTTACGTCGAGCGTAAATACGTCACATGGTTATACAATTGTTACGGGATATTGCTTTAATCCATTTCGCCACTTTATTCGTTATTTCAACCGAGTGTCTCCCGACAAGTCCTGTTAATTTGCGTCATCCCCTGTCTTCATCGAATAAAATTCACTTTTGTTTTTTTTTGTTACCGATGCCAAGATTTCAATCGAATTGCCCGGATTCTGCACAATTTTGATTAAAATTATTACGAAAAAAAGAAAAAAACTTTTATACGACAACTAGAGAGAATCCAATTTAAATAATAAATTTACGAAAACTCGGCTTGCATTGCGTGAAAAATTTTGATTACGATGATTCATCCACTGACTCACGTTGTCATTTGGAAGCATCGCGATAACCTATATCGATGGGCCACTTCGACAAACAAGAGTATTGTTCCAAGCCTCATCGATGGATCGGATCAACATGTTTGTGATTTTTCATTTTCTTTTTTCTCATTTACTTTTTGCGTACGTCGTTTTTATCTCTCATAAATTCACCTCGATGAGATATTAGAGCAAAAAGAGATTCATTAATATTAATGCGATTTCCGCTAATGAATATACAACATTTCGTCCCATGGATGGAAATTGATCGCGAAGTTCACGGTTGTTTCTCGACCGTGAAATTCCCTCCACCACTCGTGGGAATTGGAGATTGTTAATTTGAAAGAGCGCAAGGCCGAAGGCGAGGGCGAAGAAGAACGTGTCGAGGTCCTTAAGGTCTTTTGTAACTCGGTCATTTTTCGCGGGCATATGGACTTAATTAATTAATCCATCCTTGCTATGGGATAATTATATCTTCGCATGCAAAAATCTAAAAAGAGAGAAACGGTTAGTAACGGAGTTGCAAGAGTTGGATGGAAAACAAGCGCTGATAAAAATCTCAAGTTGAACTAATTCTCTATTGAATTGGCTCGCGCGAAAAGTAAAACTTCATTTCCATATCGTTCGATTGGAAACGATTTCGTAACACGTCTTGGTGTTCGATTAAGTAATAAATCATCATCGTCGATAATTAAGGTTGGGTTAAATTGATAACTGACGAAGATATGACATAAGGAAGAAACTATGTAACGTCTCGAGTGAGTCATGGGCAAGAGAAAGTTTCATGGAACCCATGCACTTAAACTTTATCACCACACTTTACTCCCAAGAACTACAGACTTCACGATTATGGGATCTTGAGGTAATACTCTCTAAATACCACTTTACATCTATCAGACGATGATCAAATTTTAAACGCTTCATTTAAAAAATAATTATATCACGAAAGTGATATCACAAGTATTCGAAGAAACTTTAGATTTTCCGTTAAATTTTGAGAGAATTTCTTCCTAAAAAAATTGTGCGAGTGTTAATTGTAATTATACACATTAATGATTATTTAATATATATAAATTATCACAAATTAAATAATTCCAAAAAACGACGTAGTCGTTTGGTAAGTTCTTCTTATTCGTCAAGTTTATGATTAGTCACGTATGATGTCAGATGATCGATTCGGTCGATGGCACATCAAACTAACGGGCTTTCAATCTATTACATTCTATCAAGATTTCTTCGTCCAACATCTCTCAAGGTGAATCAAATGCTCAGTTGAGATAGCCTGTGAATATATTTTCCTATGAAAAAAGAACGAGGATCAAAATGCAGATATAGGATATTCCAACGAACCCAGTATCACGCTCGAACAGAATTTGTATTACATTGCACGGTGTCCTTCGCCTCTATTACCATGCTCGGCCTCACGTGTCAACTAATGAATTGTGCACAAATTTACGTTGCTAACATGTTCTTCGTAATTCGCGATATTAAATCGCAATTGCGAGAATGGAAAAACGAACTTTGGAAAAATTATTAACGAAGAAAAATTAAATTCTATGATCGTTCAATAATTATAATCGTCTCTTGAGAATTCTTATCTCCATCTTTGATTTTTTTCTTCTAATACTTAAAAACGGACTTATTTGATTAGATTAATCTCTACATCATCATTATATTTTTTTTTTTCTAATCTTACCTTATTCCATATCTGTATTCCATTCAACTTATATTTATTTATGTTAAAAAAAAAAAACTTACTTTCTAAAACTCGAAGGATTATTTCGTTCGTCGATCTATTCGCATTTCGTCAGTCACGAAACGAAGATCCACGCGCGGAGATTCGAACGACGGAAGAGGAAAGGTCAGCGGACGTGAGAATTCCTCGAAGGAGGCTGGAAGAATCTGTACGATCGTTAATCCACCAACATTGATTGTAAAAGCAACGGGGAGGAAAATATATAGCGGTAAGGAGCGAGTGTTCCTCGAGATCGCCTTCAGCCATTCGTTCCTAAAACGGAAACCACTTTATAGTGTTTCCGGTGGCTAATGCAGATATCCTCCGCGCGGGGATGAAGCACGCCTATTTTTAGGCCTCGAGTATAATGCCGTACATTCATCGCACTTGGTTCACGGAAACACATGGCTATAATTGTTATGTCTATTTTGTAACGAAACATGGTTCCCTTATGGTGTATCATGGGGAGGGACGATACACGGGAATTGAAATAAGAATTCTTTTGAAAAATATCCTAGGCACATAAGGGTGTGCCGTGTTTTTAATTAATTAGAATTAAAAGCAATTGCGTGACTTTTGGAAATTAATAAAAAATGAAACGTTTTATCAAGAATGGAAAATTATGTTTTTTAGAATTCTCGAAAGCATTAGTACGTAATTTATAAAAATGGATATTTTTATTAAATAAGTAGTAGATAGATAATGAAAATTTTATTTGAAAAATATTGTCTATCTGATAAAAAAAAAAAAAAATTAGGAAAGGTAGATTCAACGAACTATTTACCTCGAACTATTTGTGCCTTGATTATCGTACATTATATTCATATTGTATTTATCGAATAACGAGAATCCTATTATCATCTCTTTTGTCGCTATGTATACGTGCAATGTTTCGTATTAGAATATGAATAACAATTCTATCGATGAATAATATGATTGAGTAATAATAACCAGACAAGCTTATCAAAAGTTTGAATAATAATTACTCTCTGCAATTTTTGCTATTTCACACTTGTAACAGTAAGAAATGATAGAAATGATTGACCTAATAATTATAAAAGATTTGTGGGATGAATATAAAATACCGATAATAATACTATCGTTGAACTCTCATCAGTCCGCAATTAATATTGTGCGCCAATTTCTAGCAATGATTAATTTTAGTATAAACTTAGAATAAATTATGTGAAATACAGCACAATTACAAACTGATAACATATTTTATTAATCGTAAAAATTGAAAAAATTACCTCTCGAAGATCTTTTCATTATTAGAACATGACGAATCTCGATTTCTTTTTCAGTTCGTTGGATAAACGTCATTGTATCAATAAAAAAAGAAAAAAAAATAGTGAACCAACCATTGCATTCCAATAGCGATAAGGATATCTTCGTATTGAACATACGTTTCTCTGCCATAATGAGCGTCCTTCAGATTAGTTGCTTGCTAATTGTTTCAAGAAAAAAAAAAAAAAGAAAAAAAAAAATAAGCTCGAAACCAATGTACAACAAACCCTTTGTATTTCGCTCCATTTTTTCTCCCTCCTTGTTTGATATAGGAGATGAGCGTACCTTTTCTTTTTCTTTTTTCTTTTTGAGAATCCAGTTATTTTCCGTCGTATGAATACTATATTGGATGATGACACGATTCTGTTCCAGTTTTTTTATCAATTACTAATTAGGAAAATTAAGATTGCCTCTTTTCTTTCCATTATTTCAGTAAAGTATTTTTTTTTCTATTTAACGATGATACGATTTCACTTTTAATATGTGTTGAAGATAAACGCAGCGAATATATTTTTATGATGCAATATACTGATGCTTTTATATTTTTCCAAATAATTTTAAGATGCAATTTTTATAAAATATTCGCCTAATACAATAAACGGTAAAAATATATATTTCAAAAATTATTTTCCTTACCGTATCATCCAAACATTTACAGTAAAACTAATTTAACCCAAACATCATGAATGAACTCGCGTAAACTACGTGTCATACTACTGTTCGATGTTATGAAAGAGTACAACGTACAAGAATAGACTAGTGATTCCTCGGCGTGTATCATGTGGTCAACCTAGAGATATTAGGATGGTTATAAAGGTGATTCGAGGCGAAAGGATAAGTGTACCATGGCCGGTGGGTTTCGTCGAGGGACGCTCCCTTCTTTGGCAACTGGGTCTCGTTTTAATTCTCGGAGGAAGGGATCGGTCGGCAGCTGTTGCTTCGAACACGGTTCCCTCCGAGGCGAATTCGATGGAAACGCGGCGTATGCTCAGGTGTGACGAAAGGAAACAATCTTCGACCGTATCGAAATCGCGATAATCTTCTTGCAAATCTTTCTTTCCTCGGTACCTTGACGTATCTACGATTTGTCATTTCCGTTCACGATGAAATTGCCGTTTAGCAATCTTTTTCCTTTTTTTTTTTTCTTTTTGTTATTTAAAGATGACTCGATTTTAAACTTTGCACGATCGAGAAGAATTTTCTTAATCTTATTTATTGTGTTGTTTGAATCTGAAAGAACAAATTTTAAGATAAAAGTGAAGCGAGAAATCGGGAAATTTTTTTTGATACTTTCATCAAATTGATAAAAAAATTTTTATCATAACGAAACGCGATTGGATTGAATATGATTTGAAGAAGATTTTGCATTTTATTTATGTAAAGATTTGATATTGTAATAAATATTGGAGTAAAGAAATAATAAATATACGTGCAGAATAATCATTCGTAGATAGAACAAAAAAAGATTCAAAGATTAGATAGGAAACGAAGATTTATGATTATAAAGATGATCGTATTATTTTAGAGGATTATATTGAAATTGAAATTTTATGGTTTTTGTAATTTTTACTTATCGGAAAGGAATTCGATTAATTAAAAAAGATTATATCATTTTACTTTCAAGTGTTAGAGATAAAATTCTCATATAAAATTCTAAAAAGAAAAATTCTTAAGAAGATTAGAAATATTAAAGAATAATTTAATTATTAAAAATCAACAATTTCGAATGTCAAAATCACATCACGATTTACCTGTGAACAGCTATTCTTTCACGCTCTGCATTGTAATTATTCATTGGGATTACTCTCCAATAAGTGTCATGAAATATCTCTGACATGAGCTTTGTAATCTGCAGACACGAATGATTGTCACGTATGTACATACATAGATACATACAATCTAAGTTAAACCTATGAATTATTCCAGCGATCCTCAACCTCCAAAGAGTCAAAATATTTACCGATTCTAAATTCCTTCCTTAATCTTTTGAGTAAGCAACAGACAATCAGACTTGATTAAATATTATTTTAATTTAATTTTCGGTCGAATAATAAAAAAGTTTATAAATTCGTTGCATCTTTCTATTTTTTAATAAAAATATATCTACTATATCATAAAAAAAAAACAAATTCAACAGAAACGATATCTCGAATCTAAAATTCCTGACAGATCGAATAAAAAACCTGAAACATGGAATTTAAATTAAATCTCGGCAATCAATATCATCGAACTTCCACTATATTTTATCAGAACAAATAATTCATTTATCTTTAAGAGCATAGGTGCAATGAACTTCGTAATACGCATGCGCAACCACCCTTACTAGGCCGAATTCCATAAGGGATGGGGTCTCCTCAGTAGGTCATGTATCATCGGACAAAACATATATGTATATGTATTAAAAAAAAGAAATTTTTTTTTTTTTTTACCTTTCTTTGCGCTTCCGCCGCAAATCCAGATTTAGTAGCCCTGTTATTGGCCATTTCGTTCACCTTTGATCCGTTTCACTAAAAAGCAAACTCACAAACAATCGAAATCGTTATCGACCGTGCCACGATGTTCACCGTTCAACGGTTGCGGCTCGACTGACGCGCCTTAGGATCGTATGTCGATCGGCGAGAGTTCTTTCGACGCTTATTGGCCGGACCGGCACTGGTCGAGTATTGAGTTTTCGTTTGACGTCGCGACACGTGACCTCCGTTCTCCAGTCTGGCACGAGGATGACGTCAGACGTCGTCTCTGACGAATTCCTGGAGCCGTTTTCGTATCGAAAAATTTCTGTATCAGCGAATCTAGAAGATATAGTTATGGTATAAAAAATAATATCGATTATGTTTTAATTTAAATAGGCATTGATATTTTTTTAATATTTTACGAGATAAAATTACGACGAATTACGCACTCCGTAAAAGTAACAATATTTATATTTTGGGGGAAAACGATATTTAATCGAATAATAACTTTTTTTTAATTATAATTAATAACTTTTTTTAATTATAAGATTTTAATGCAAGAAATTTATAATAAAAAAAGGAAATTTAAATATGAATGGCGTTGGATGTTGAAAAAAAATTAATGAGAAATTCTAATCGAAACGATCGATTTTAAAAATTATATATAAATAAACAACATTTTTTTACAAACATTTCTTTCTTAATTTTTTGTTGCATTATTAGTGTTTGGTTGATTTATGTGCAACGTGTTATGATGTTAACTTCGGATATAGACTGACGAATTCTTTGAATGGCACTCTTTATAACTCGAAAGTATCAAAAAATTTTATCATGCCATAATCATGCCATAATCATTGAAGAAAAATTTATTTTCTCTGTGATAGCGTTTCAGGTCTTCAGATTTTCGAAGACTTATTAACCATTATTTATTTATTATTAAAATCATTTATTTCAATTTTATGATTCTTTTTCCATTATTATATTATAAAAATAAAATATCGTATTTTATAAAACAGGATATAGAAATTTTTATAAAGCGAAAGAATGCCAGCTAAGTCGTAGAACCTACGATGAATATAGATTGTATAGAATCCTTCGTACTACCTTCATCCTGACCACTTTCTCAAGCCCCTCTGTTGCTTTAAGAAGTTGCGTTCAGAACTCGTTCTGGAAACGGAACTGGCAATAGAACAACAAAGAAATTTTTATGCGTGTATTTTATTTCTATTTTTCAATAAATCGTAATTGAATCCATTTGTCTTATGCATTTTTAAGACAAATTCCTTTCGAAAGAAATGTTATAAAAAAAATACATCAAAAGATATAAGTACCTTTACGCAATAAATCGAACGTATATAAATTTTCTTTTATGATTATTATTGCATAATTATTGCGCATAATTACTATATTTATGCAAATAATATCAAGCAATGATTAGATTGTCTATTTTAGATTCTTTTGTCATTTGAAATATTTACATAATTTTATGTTTCTACGTTTTCTTTATCCAAAGTAGAAGTTGATTTTTCAATATATTTGTTAAGATGTTAAACCATCCTATATATATTTCTTCTATAAATTATACATCGTACATCGTGATCGTGCATCGCTTTACTTGCATCTCCACTGTATTCTAAGGACATTCAGTGGCCCGTGAGAAAAGCATTGCTGTAACAGAAGGAATGCATGGAATTTAACTTAACAACGAGTTCTTCTCCATGAAATTTTGCAAGAATCTATACAAATCATCGTGTTGCTAAATTTTATCCTTTCTTTACGTGATATAATTTGACGAATCGTTAATGATATCTGAATTATTTTCCTATTTCAAAAAGTGGAAATTTGTCTTTTTTTTTTTTTTTACGACAGAGATGATTACGAAAACGCAAAAATTGATTTTGTACAAGATTAAACGTTATGCGTTTCATTCGGTAATCGGTATGCAATGAAAACGTGCCATAATAGGGAACAGTTACGCTCGACCTTCTCCGATCTTAACGTACACTAAATTTTCTGCTTACGTATTTTCGTATACGTGTCACGTATCGATGACTCAATCGACTGTACTCGAAGACCAGCTAACGTATGATTTACACAGGCATCATGAGCCCGCAGAATTTCTTCGTTAAGTGGTTTGCCAACATCTTTCGAAATTAAATTTATCGCGAATTAAAAAAAAAAAGAAAAATATACAACTAAATATTTCAACGAATAAATAATATTAATCCGATTCCGAAGTAATAAAATTTCCATTATTATTTTTACAAATCATTGAAACAAATTGAATCTATTTATTTTAAATTATCCTAAAAAAAAATAGAAACGCGTCATAAAACGGGGAGCATCATGAACGGGGAACGAATTTCTATTAAATTCGAAGATATTACAAAGTGAATTCCGTTATAATTGCGATCGAAAGGATTGGAATATGCGAGCATGCGTTTCTTCGTGAGAAGCATGGCCGGGCGAAAGATTCGAGTCTCACCTGGATGTTACGCCACTGCGTGGGACGATACACAGTGCAGTCGAGCGATGCACCAAGGTCGAGGCCATCTATGCCATTACCTGAGAGTGCATCTTGGCTCGTGTGTAAGTACGTGTGCGAACAACACGCGTTGCGTGCACACGTTAGCCGCACGCGAACCAGTGTTAAGTGCAAAGACCTCCCCTCGCATGTTTCAGGAATATGTACTCGTTAATTTGACGAGCGTAACTTTGCGCGGCTCACCGTGCAATTTTCCCGACGAAACCGCTATTTTATTTCTATTAGTTCCCGCTTTTATCCGAGAAAACAAATATCACACGTATGATTACATGCAATTTTTTTCAAGATATTTTTTAAAAAGGTCGCATAATCCTTTAATCTTTATTCATTTCTTTTTTTTCGAAAATCATTTTCGAAAGGGATAGAGGTAGATGAAATAAATATTCACACAAAATTATATTTCTTTCTTTCGATGATTTGATTCTTTTTTAACACGATTCGTATTTCGTTAGACTTTGGGTATTTGTTGAATAAGCATAAATACTGGAACAATGCAATCTACGTAGAAAATCTTGATGATACTACTGGAATTCGATTCAAGAGAATACTGTTTTTTTCTTTTCTTTTTAGTTTACGAGTATATCGAGCATTTTATATTTTTATTAAATTATGATTCAACGGATATAGATATTTATTTTTTTCCGTACGATAGATCTATAAGTGATAAGATACGATATATATTTTTCCATTATTTTTCAGCATCGTCTTTCGATATTTTACCGCAGCGTCACGCATACCGAGTGCAATCATGTCTGACCATTCGATCCTTTCTTTCTTGTCGATTCACTTACGGTTTCCATCGAAGGATGATTAAAACCGGATCGAATGGAAACCAGTCAAGGTAACGTCCTTGCGATCCGGATGGTCTGTCGGCAAAGAAATTCGGTATCTCGAGTATTCATCGATCAATCTGCCAATAATTAATTTTCCTTATTTCAATTTATTTGGTTATCAAAATTTATTTGGTTCGAAATTTATCGTCTTCTTGTTATATTTTTTAATTTCTTTTATTTCGTTCTATTTTATTTATTTAGTAATTTTCAATGAACAACTTCTCTTCTATTCAAGATATTTATATTTGAACGCAAAAGCGATTTTTTTTGCTAGAAAAGAATAGAAAACGAGAGGATTATTTTCTAGACAACTTTATTACATATCAGAATACAGCCTACAGTTTGTAAATTAGATGCTTATCGATATACTCTTAAATATAAGTAACATCCGGCAGGCTTAAATAAGAGACATTGCCATCTAAAATTCATTAAAAAATATGAAAAAACGATCGTAACCGGATAAAAAATAAATTTGAAAGTCATAATGCACATTGCTTCGCCTTTATTATTGATTACAAAAAGTCCTCAGCGTGTACGTGTTTGTAATGTGTGTTTGTCATGTGTATATATATATATATATATATATATATGTATATGTATATATATATATATATATATATATATATGCACATGCATATATATATTTCATTCATTTATTTATATATGTATATGTATATGTATATTATGATATGCATGTACGTGTGTCGTGTGTAACGGTGTATCATCATGTATCGATGTAAAGTTCCGTATTTGCAGAAGTACGGGAAGATACCAGGTATTATCATACCCTCTGCTCTCTTCCTTCTCTCTTATTTCTCTCTTTACTCTTTTTTTTTAATGTGTCATCTAAAATCGCATAACATGTACAACGTGTATGTTATTTAATGTCAAGGAAGAGCCTGTGGCAGTGAACAGAATGGGTATGTAAATGTAATCTACGATCTAGAATAGAGTACGTGATTTAATACATTGCTTTTGCATGCATTGTTAATGATATTTCCGTTCGTGTAATTTTCTTATAATCGTTACATTTCATCCTCATCATCTTTATTTCATCACTTCCATAATAATTTTTTTGTTTTTACTTTAACTAGTAAGCATATATAACAATTGATTCATTTTTTTCTTCTTGCTTTTTATTTTCTGATACGATTATTCTTTCTCAATGATATGACGTGTCAATATGTAATAAAGTTACTCAGGGCGCCGCCAAAGCCAAACCATAATCGTTTCTGTCAATATAATTTAGCTATACAATTGTATATATCAAAACTTATAAAATACCCAAAACCACTATGGCAGCTAACCCTGACCCTGCATTTTTGCATGATATTTTCCTTTTGATATGCGTTTAGAGCCATACATTGGTCATTGATTTAAAACATTTAAAAGTTCGTGGATCTCGCGTGCGTGTATTATGTATATGTGCGTGATCGGTCTCGTTTTTTTTTTCTTGTCGTTTCCATCGATATCGTTGAAACGCAAGGGAATATCCTCGATTAGAATCGTGATAATAATCGTTATTTGAAAGCCGGTGGTGGTGCCCTTTGTCCGTTCGTTTTCGACAAGTCCTCACTGGTCATCACCGTCACCAGTTCACCGACTGCTTTCCCTAAGTCTCCTAAAAGAGAATATTTCAATTTAATTTTTTGTTCTGAATTGAATTTCTACTCCTTTGTTTGCTATTTATAATATTGAAGATCACCTTTCCTTTAAGTACATAAAGACATTTCATATTTAAACATTTATATTTATCGATCCATCACATGCAGGTATAAAAAAACATTGATGATTGATGGAAACACTGCCTGGCGGATAGGTATTTGAGTTTGTGATCGTAGACACGTAGAAGCGACACGTAGAGCAGACAAAAAAGTTAAAATATAAATACGATAATGTATAGGGTGGAATGTTGAGAAGATGAATCGAATATTTCTAATATTTTTGAAGATGTGAAATTATATATCTCTATTAATATCAAATTTTAACATCTTCGTACAATATTTATGTACTTTTTTTTTATATTTATCATTTTTTTTCACCCTATACAGTTAAATACAATCAGATATTAAATTTCTTCATATTAGTGAATATACATGATAATATTAAGCCACAAAGGATTCTCGATTGAATAAGATTAAACGTATTTCAAGGGACAGTGCGTATAAAAAGAATGAGCGGGAAAAGAAGCATTGATAGTCTCACCTTACATCCATTCTGTGGCGTGAAAAACAGGAAAGCATGGTTATTGTTAAGCAGAAATGAGATCGTGCATAAGAAACGTTCGACATAGCAGATTTTTTTTTTTTTGTAATTTTTGATTGCACTACATATAAAAAATGATCATATTGATTGACACACGAAGAATAGAACGAACCTGCCATGTGCAAGAGATTGCCCACGTTGTGGGCAACACTGTGAGAATGCGGTGGCGGTGGTGGCCTCTCTAAACTGCTCACTCTTCCCTCGTTCGAACCTCCACCACCTACGTTCATATACCCATACCAATAAGCTTTATGCTAATCTCTTTGGCACTTTGCGAAACGATCATTAATATGCAGTTAGTATTTAATAGCGTCAGAAATACCCTGCGCCCACTTATTTTGAATAATGAATATGACTCCAAGGCGTATGCGCCAGCATTGTGAATCATTTAAACTCCATTTATGAGTACGAAAGATTTAATTTATGAGTAAAGAATATTTTTAAATTAAATAACAAACTGTGAAAAATTAAAACAGATTGAAATAAGTAAATGATGATGCTGATTCGATTCACCGTTTTTATGAGCAATAAAGTAATAACATATCACATCGTTTTTTAGTTTACCTGGGGAATCGTGATAATGTCCGTTCATTTTAGCAGGCGAATCAGTTGCCAATTGAGATGCTGTAACGCTTCGCGTTTGTAATGTGCCTGTCTTAGATGGCGAGGAAGCATTTGGCTGCAAAAACAAATAAGAAAAATAATCAGTTATTTATAATGCTACAAATCTGTTTAAAATACATTGAAATTTAAAAAACTCATACTTCTCTAACTAAAGAGAGCTAACTAAAGAATCTTTTACTTATCTATAAACGTCATCATATAAATTTCACGTTACACGACTATAGAAACAACTATCAAAGTGAACTTAAACGCACCTCGTCCAAAAGTTGTCTGAGTCTCTGCAACTGAGCCTCCAGTTGACGATTATGATCCTCTAGTATTTGCATGCGCGCCTCTAATCTGCCCTTGTGCTGTCTCAACAATTTCGCCTCGGCGATCATGTCACAGTCAGGCTGTCGGTTGCCATGGCCGTCTTCCGGCGTCGAGCCCGGTGTCTGTTTCGAGCGCAATCGTTCGTATTCCGCTTGGAGTGTCGCGTTCTCTTCTTCCAGTTCGCGTATCATCGCTTCAAGCTCCTCTCTTTGCTCGGCATCGATCGCGGCCATCACCTGCACGGGGCTTCTTGGCACGTTTACATTGTCGCCGCCGTTCAAGCTCTGGCAATAATGAGCGATCAGCTGATGCTCGTCATCGCTGTCCGGTGTCGAGTTGCTTCTTGTGCGCGATAGCTCGACTTCCGCCAACCGGGATGCGTACATCTCCAGCCGGGAGTGCATGTCCTGGCTGAGGGAGCTATGTTGCGGCGACGGCGCCGGGCTTTCCAACGCGTCTCCCTCCAAAACGGTCTGCACCGGCAGATAACCGACTCTTGGATGCTTCTTGAAGTATCTCTTCGACTTGAATTTATTTCGAAGCGCTCTCGTAAAGTCGCGCACGTCCTCGCCAGATGTGGTCTACGAAATAAACGAGTGTTATTGTTTCGTATTACGGAAGGCATATAAAGAGAGCATTGTATAAACGAGGCGTAAAGTTTTACCGCGGTGCAATATTCCTGCATCGGATGCGTCAACTTGTGGTTCTTCGCTTTCCTGCCTGAGAAGAAACAGTTCTGGCACATGTCGAAATTGAAGCATTTCAAGCAACGATACCTGTAGAGAATTTGTAGAAACGAGTTATGAAATACGAATATTGAATTTTTTTTTTTTTTTTCGTAATTGTTTCTTAAATCTTTTTAATCATTCGAAGAGAGTAGAGTAGATTAGAATCGTGCAAGCACAATGAATACCTGAATCCAATAATGGGATACTCCTTGCATATATTACATTTCGCTTGATGCTTTGCGCTCTCCGCGGCGGAGAGTCTATGAAGCACAGGCAACCAAACCATACTCTGCGGCTCTTGTTGCAGCCAGCTCAAAAAGTGAACCGCTTCTATTTCATTTTTGTCTTTTCCAGCCTTCTCGAAGCAGCTGCGAACGCTCGGCTCGATGTTCGACCCGCCAAACGCCGCCACTTCTCCCAACTGCCTCGGCACTTGGATGCAGTCGTGCAACAATAAACCGAGCTTTCGTTGATCCACCAATCTGTTTGGATCAGCGATCAGCCGGAATAGATCTGGAATTTCATTTACTTTACATTATCTGCTTTTCGAAAAGAAATATTACAAATAAAATACTTTCGAAAATACTCACATCGATATTTTTCTTCCAAATGACCCTTGCACAACAGGACCAAACCAACTTTGAATGAAAGCACGCGAATCTGACCGGTTCGTTGACTGAAATACGACAATGACAATTTACTAATCAACGATTTTGATTATTATTTCGTCAAACGGATATTAGAGCAACATTATGATTTATTTAATTACGAATAATCGTGCTCACCTATCGTACACGTTGAGGAGCCAATTGATGGCCAAATCGATGCACAAGGGGACAGACACTTGCGTCGGGTTGTCCGCCGTTATCACTTCGTACAGGGACGTCAAGACTGTCACCATGTCGGGAATGTCGATTAGTTTGTCGTTTTGCGCTCGGAGCCCGTGCGAATCGAATTGCTCTAACGCGGTGGAAAGGCTCAACATGTCCACTGCAAAAAAATATAAAAAATAAATAAAACGGAACGGAACGGAGATGGATAGATTATCGGAATATATCGGAATCGGAGATGGATATATTTTATTTCAAAGAATACCGTGAATGAATACTACTGATGATTCGCCAAGCAAAACAGAATCATGCAAAAGATCAAATCCATCAACAACGACGACGACGACGAGGACCATGCGTCATCACTGCATGGACACGTGATTAATCGAGAAAATTAACGACGATTAACGAACACACACGATAAACAAATTAATTACCGGTCGGGGATCGCTACTAAATGCCAACAATACTCACGGCACAATCGTTTCTGAACGGTGCGCAGTTTCATGGCGGTTCTGTACGCTGAAAATCGTACTTCGTTCAGGTCCGCCAGCGAGGACATCAGCTCTATCATTTTCGGATGATCCCAATGGGTGGTCTCCGACTGATGGCTGCAAAACCGTTCCCCCCCGTGGGATTAGACAAACCCGATCCAGGATTAAGAGATTCAATGAAAATTTTCACGCAACAGCCACGGATCACGGAGAAAGGGAAGTTGGCAAAGTTCTCGTGGGAGAACTTTGTTTAATCTTTATTAAATCCGCGGCCGCGATTCTTGGCTCGACGAGAGGCAAGCCTAGGTTTTAAGAATTTATCCACGGCTCGACGAATTCGCGAATTCATCGGATTCTATGGTCTTCGCGATGATCCGGATATAGGGGCGAACCAAAATCGGCTTTAACTCTCGATTCAGGGACCCGCAAGATGGCGACTCGCGCTGCTCTTTCCACCTGTCTCTCTGGTTATGACAGTTATGGAAAAGTATGGAAGCTAAAATTTAATCCTTCCCAGTTTTAACATTTCGCCGGCAGTTAATATTTTACCTCAAGTTGCCTCTCACGTTTTAAATTACTTTTAGAAAAACCTTCCATCCATCCGTATTGAAATATTTCTATTGAAATTCGTAATCGTAACTTTTAATAACGTGTAAACGATATAAAACACGGTTCGAAATCGACGCGAATATCGAACAATATCGATTTCGTTTTTCGATCAAGATTAAAACATTTTACTCGACCAATCGCAATACGCGACTAATATTCCTCGATCGAGAGTCGAGCCTTCCTCGATTCCAAATTTGGTCGTCGATCTAAATTAGAATTTCTATCGTTTCATCCATTCGCAAGCACCAAAAGCTCGACTAAATATTCGTCAAATCTCCAGACGAGATTCTCGCGAACTTCTTCCCCCTTTCGAATCACAATTGTCTCATCAATTATTCGTTTGTTTGCGTTTAAGATCGCGCCCCTCTCCTGATCCTGTGGCTCCCCCTCTCTCTCCCTCTCTAGATAAATTAAACCGGCCAGGGTTTGGCTCGGTGCAAGGAAGATCGATTACTTGATATAGTAAGGCACTTTGGCGGGTGTGAGGGCTCTCTCCCATGGTGGTTCCACGCTGCTCGCGAGGAAAGCCTGGCTACCCGGAGTGCTGCCATCCTTTCCAAATCCGCTTAGCAACTTGTAACGCTCGTCAACCGCCACTTGCAGCACCTTCCACCTGCGAAAACACGCGAAAAACTTAGCTTCCTTCGAGCGATGGTTAAAAAATAAGCAACGATGTCGAGTAATCCTCGTGAATCATTTTTTTTTTTTTAGAATCATTGCGAGATTTAAAAAAAAAAAAGAACGAGTATTAAGTATACTTCTTTTTTTTTTAACGATAATAGATATCAATTTAAAACTTTTAACTTTTAATGATTGCAAGAAGAATATCAATATTCGTGATAAGAAAGTGTGGTTTCCATTTTGTTATATAAATGCCACAATTTGCACGCGATATTGTTTTTGCACACTTTTTCTCTTCGAAGAAAAGTGTCGAGGAAAAATGAATATCGATAGCTTTATTCGCGTTTGAAGGGTGAAGTTGTGCATTTTTGAATCTTTGGATGGAAGATTCGTATCGTGAAACGTTACATTAAACAGACAAGTGCAGTGTTGCACAACTGAATAGCGTATTATTCTACGCGAAAAGAAGAATATGTAAATAATCGTGGAGTTTAGAAGTGTGGAGTGAGTATAACATTGTTGTTTAAAAGCTTGAATTAGAAGTGCGTGCGTTATAATTTCGCGTATCTGGGGAATATTACATAAATTCTCTTTGTTATTCGGCGGATGAAGCCCAAGTTATTAAAATAATGTAAAACACACTGTACACGGTGAACACATTATGTCGCAATAAATACCGAACCATTTAGCGCGAGTTCCAGATTACAATCGATATCGATATTTATTATATCTGTGTTTAAACACATGCGATATCTCGCCTCGCTATTTTCGTTTCTCTTCAAACGAGTAAATTTCCTCCTAACTTCCTTACTTCTTTAATAATTCTTTCAACCGCGACAAAAGCCTCTCAAAAGCTTTTGGAATTACTGATATCACTTACTCAGAAGACCAAAAGTATATTACCGTTTAAAATATCCCATACATTACACATACGTATAATAAGATCCAAGGTAAAGAGTAAAATTCCTCTTTAAGTGGAGACAGCTAGTCGCATTAGCGAGATAAATTTGAAATAGGAAGAGGCGTTCCTAGTATTCTGCATACCTGGTGTTGAGATCTTCGAGTTTCGCCAGCAAAGCATGAGAAACGATGACGCTGCTCGAGGCGAAGACGCTCGCTTGATCGTTCGCGTACTCGATGCTCCTCTGGATGGGCAACAGTCGTTCGCCGAATTTCTCCAATTGCTTCAGCAATTCCGTCGCCTCGTTCGCGTCGCTTGGATTCTGCCACCCGCTTTGGATCGCCTCGGCGCCGGCCATCCGCGACGAAAGATCCTCCAGCGTCTTTTGGAACACGCATATTTTCTGCGAAAGGGAAACGAAAATTCTTCTTTATTCCTTCACGTTTCACGAAATATAAATTTAAAAGAAAAAAAAAAAAAAGAAAAAATGTTGAACATTTGGCTCGTCACCAAACGGTGACGATAATATTTCAAGAGCGAAGAACGATGAAAGAGAGAGAGAGAGAGAGAGAAAGAGGGGGATGCAGTTTGGCAGGCTTAAAGTCCAAACTTTAACGCAATTTCTTCTCGCGCGGAAAGTTTCTCGCGCCGGTTTAAACGAAACGGTTGGCGCTGCTATGATTTTACCAGGACGTTAAACTTTTAAGTGTATAATACGCGTGATAACTTTTGCTTCTCTCGTTTTCTTTTCCCCTCCCTCTCCCGTTGTAAACTCGAAGAAAAATTTGTCTTTAATAGCGGCGAAATCTTGCTGTACGTACTAGTGTTCCTTGCAACGTGCAAGTTGAGTGAATAAATTTATCGGGAGGGGAGAAAGGAAGGGAGATAAGATGAGAAAGACGTATACGGAGATTTGAAAAGAGAGAATGGAATTGAGGCATCGTTGCATTTCGCCTTGTTTGGAAAGGAAAGAGGAGAAACGCAGGGAGCATGTTAAAATGATCAAGCTTTCGTATTACTTTTTTCTGTATTACGTTTGTAGTTATCCTTGTAATTCTAATTTCATTTATCTTTTGACATTTTCTTCTTCTTCTTCTTCTTCTTCTTCTTCTCTAAATTTTTTGCTGTCGAATTTCTCCCTTTTCTTAATGTTTTCTCGTTGTCTGAAGAATTCTATCTGAAATCCCCTCTGGAATTCTACCCGCACTTCTACTCCGCTACCACTGGATGTAGAAATTTTTCTAAGTTCCAATCTCATCGTGGGAAAGAGAGAAGTCTAAGAGAAGTTCTCGGGGATGATAAATTATTTTTCACCACTGATTGTGGATAGACACTGTCCACGAAGTAGTTGAGAAAAGAACTCTCAGAAATAATCAAACAATCAATAGAAATAATTTTGAAGTTAATATATTAAGGTTAAAGTAAAATTCTTCACTACGATAAACTTTGATAACAATATCATACGTCAATATTGATTAATTTTACACGATCCTCGACGATTATTTTTAAATTTTATAAAAATTTATGATCAATCCATGAAATTTCGCCGTATAAATTCGAATAATTTCTACGAAAGATTAAAAAAAAAAGATATACATGAGTTACGTGAAAGCGAGATCGATCATTTCTATCAATATCTCCAAAAAAGAAAAATTAAACACACTTATTTTCCTACTAAAATTTAATAATTTGCAAAAAAAAAAATTGATTTGTTTTAATCATGTATGAATAATCTCGCGGGAAAACATTTATCGGATATCAAAATATTCGCTGGATAAAAGAAATTTGAGCGAGGTTGAACAGGGTCCCAAGGTTTCCACATATCGTCGCCACCGAAAATATTGAACGAGAGGCGTCGTTCGAAAAGAAAGTTGCAAGTGTAATTGTCAGGAACGAAGAGGTTTATGGTCATGAAAATCACGTTTACGGTTTACCAGGTTTCGTGCTCTCGCTCGATGGTCTCAGTCGTGAGTAATAGTTGCTATTAAAATTCGTTATAAATTGTAGTCGGGGTTCTCGTATTTTGTTGCCGAGAAAGTGCTGATTGCTTCGCGATAAAGACACTAATGGCGAAGCGACGAAAGAATTTCGTTTAACGATAAACATGTTGGGAAAGATGGCGAAAAATTAAATTTCTTAACGATATATTTTAAGCTTGTAAAATGGATGTAAAATATGAAGAAGGAATATAATAATATTCTTATGATTATTTTTTTTTCAATTGAAAGTGAAACCAGAATCAGATAAAATTTATAAAATCTGTTTAATTATTATTCATGTATTTTTTCAATGTCGCGTTAAATTTTTAATCTTTTTTTTCTTTTTTTTTTTTTTTTTTTGTTAAGATTTAATAATTGGTACAAGAAAGGAAGAAGCATCGAATTGAGGAGACGGTTGAAACAATTAGATTTTCCAAGTTCCTTTTTGTCAACCGGTAATAAAGTAGTTAGAAAATCTCCGGAGTTTTGATTGAAGTAATTCGGGTAAATTGAATTCCTCCTTGTTTAAACGAGTCTCAAACGACAAGCAACAAGTTAATAAATAGTTAATTGAAAAAAGCTACGGGGAAAATTAAATTTTTTCTTTATTTTTTAAATATTCGTATATTGCATATCAGAATTATATCTCGATTACCTCGCGACAACTCGTATTCCTCGAACTTTATCATCTTTCACTAATGAAAATCACGATGATACAAATTTTTTCCAAGAAGCTTTCACACTTGCCTATAAACTTCTCAAATTACTTTGTTGTTGAATTTCACAAATTTTCTTGGCAAAATTAAATATTCTATTTTATACGATAGAAATACTAATCATTCGTACGATGTGTTTCCACGCTTGTCCAACTCATTTTTTCTCGCTCAACAAATCGCCAAAAGTTTTTTTGGAATTCTGTCAAAATTTCATTGCAACGAATGACTCTATTCCACATACTTACATCACTTCAATTTCTACAATATTCACATACTTTAAAACTTATTTATTTAATTTCTCAGATTTTCCTTAAAGAAGAATTTTCTTACTCGTACTCCACAAATCCTTTTCCACTGGTGTGCTCGTTACTTAGGATTCGCAATAACCTCTATGTATAATTCTATAAAAAAAAAAAAAGAAAAAAAAAATCAGCGGATGAAAAGAGGCCGCCTCGTGGATTCTCCGTGGACGATGACGACGGTTTCCGATGAAAGAGCCGTTGGCGACGGTCGTCGAGATAACGCGCCCTTTTTCCGCTCCGATAAATTACATTCGACGGTGGTGTGCACCCTTGCAGACTCCGTCTCGCGAATAGAGGGGACAAAAGGGCCGCGACAATAACCCTTAAACAACACCTAACATCCCTTTCAGGCCGGCCTGACGAAAGCAGCCGCGCTTTCCATTCATTCGATTACCCCCCCATTCAACCGTCCCACCCTCTCTTCGCTTAAGTCGCTCTGCCTCTTCGCGGTCGAGAGAACCAACCCACGCGTTGGAAAACACCCGCCGCAACTTGCAACGGAGGAGAAAACGACTCGCCTTCGTTCGTTTCCACCACTTTGCCTCGATCACGTGTTTCGCTTGTCCTTTCTTCACGGTTTGAAGAGGAACGTTGAAGGAGGGGCGAAACGTGAGGAAATAGGATTTATCGTAGGATGGATCCTTCGGTGACATCCGATATCCTCGATCTTTTGTAAACTCTTTTACCTAATATTTATTGGAGTTTACAGATCTGTTATTTCTTTTTTTTCTTTTTTTCTTTTGCGTGTTCTAAACCTTCAAAGAAATTTCTTACAGTTTCTTCTTTCGATAATAATTGAAGAAAATGGAAATGGATTAGAATCAGAGTCGTCAAATCGTTAAAAATCAGAGATTGAATGCTTTAAAATTTTCGTGATGGATTCGACGAAAAGAGATACTTTGATCAGATTCATACAAGGCGATTAGACTTGGATTAATTGTTATTGTTATTTCATATTTTAAAAAAATCCTCAAAAAAGTTATAACGACCAAGAAACCAAGCTAATCCCCAAAAATCGTGCGTTTTAGGGTTAAGAGGGTGCTCCACGCAAGGTGCTCTCGAAAAATTAAAAAATAATGCATCGAGCGAGAAATTATACGAGGGTGTAAGAAAGGGTTAACGAGAAGAACGGACGAATAGAGGACAGGATGCAACAGAGGAGGTGGAGAACGGTGGAGAATGGGAAACAATAGGCAGAACGAATATATAGAATAGAAAGAGAGAAAGGGAGAATGGAAGGATGGAGAAACGAAAGGAGAGCGAGAAAAGGGAAAAGGGAAAAGGGTCGGTTGGAGGAAAGAGCAACGAGGAGAACGAAAGAAGGAGAGTGGTGAGAGAAGAGTGGAAAAGGGTTGGGAAAAGTCTGCATTTGCATTCCAAATAAACGTCGACGACGGACGCTAAATCGCTCTAATTAGTCGTCCCGCTATGAAAGTACTTTAAGCGGCGCTTGTTCGGCATCCAGAGCGCGTTCTTAAAGCGGAAAAGCGAAGAAAAAGCCGCGGGAAGGAAAGTCGATTCGACTCCCGGAAGTTGGCTCTCGTGATGTCGTCAAAGTGACGCCATCGGGGATTCGATGAAACGCTGTACATGTTCTCCCCCTTTCTTGTCACTTGTCGGTCACGATTCTCGTAAAATAAAACACGTACGTTTAACCAATGAATCGTTCGCACCTTGCACGAGATATCTCGCATCTTGCATAAAAATCTCTTCATTCCCGGATTAGAAACTGTATTCTACATTTTAATTGGATAAATTATGATAAAAATGATATCTTAAATGGAACTTAAATTTTGAAATCGTGCCTGAAAAAATCCACGCGTCGAAAAAGGAAAGAATGCAGATAAAAGAAGCGGAGCAAGTTTCTTTCTTTGAAGTAAGCTTGGTTATCGTTTACAAAATCGCTAAATGAACCGATGATCGAATCTATTGCCACCCAAAGGAATTGTCGACCTAAGTTCGGACCGGAATTCCGTCGAGAAGAACTAGAAATTTACAATATCCTTTCAAAGTGTCGCGAATACTTCGACCAAAATTTACATATACATTACATAGAAAAGAAGAAAAGAGAAAACGATTGGAAGATAATTTCATCCTTTCAATCCTGGCGAGGATTTAATCCCAGGTGATAATAAATCGCCGTCGAAAAGAGGGCGCGAGAGCTTAAAGTGACGCGTCGTAAGACGAATGCACCGCTGAAAATAAGATTGCACGGCCATCAATATGGGCCAGAAATCGTCCCAGCGAGGGAACGAGGAGAAGAAACAGGAGGAATGGTCGGTGGGTGTTGGAGGCGGAGGACGAAACAATTTTTCCTCCGCTTGGCCGTCTGCAATGTCATTTATTATGTAGCCAACCGGGCAATTAAAGTTAACTCGGCCGTGCTTTCGCCTTCCTTCCCTTCCT